AGATGACATCAAATCGTGTAATATATTCCATATCTAGCCTAGACATTTTTCACATAAACAGAGTGCAAACCTGTGCGTCTGTTTTCTTATAACAGTACAGATGACATCAAATCGTGTAATATATTCCATATCTAGCCTAGAAGTTTTTCACATAAACAGAGTGCAAACCTGTGCGTCTGTTTTCTTATAACAGCACAGATAACGTCAAATCATGGTCTATACCTTGAATACAGGAATTATGGTAATCCTCTGCTTGAGTCTTGTACGACAACAACCGCTGGACAAGGATTTCGGCGCAGGCGTCAAAATTCTCTTGAATGGCTTTAGGACGTGTGGGTAACCTTTGTAAACCCTTCTGTCTGTAGTACATCTAAATGGAGAAGAAATAAAACAAATTAGATATACTCACTGGGTTCCCTGTGGTAATAGCAAGCATCTCACTCTCATTACTCTCCTCACTCTCTTTCGAGGCATGCCACTAACAGGATTCCCAATCGTGACGCTTGATGATCATTTATATAGCGCCCTTTCTATATTGATATAACCAAGGCTATTTACATTGAGTTGCGAATTTCAGATTGCTTTTTTGAATGCAATTTAAAAGCATGAGAGATGGTTAGTACGAGATGTAGACACTGAGGGTGGTCACTGCCAGGGTTTCTTTACGTCTTCAGTGGTTCTTTTACATCCCTCCGATATTGGAAAAAAATTGTCTGAGATGTCTGACAAGGCATAAAACTTGAGTCACAACGTCCGAAAACGATTATCAAGAGCTTAGTTCTCACACTCTGTCAGGCATAATATTACACAGGCCACCCATTTTTAAATATCCAACCTCGAAGAAAAGGTAAATTTCAGAAGTGCGGCGAAAGAAAGCAGGGAAGGTTCATGTACTTACCTCTGCAGTGGCCAGCAGACCTTCGAGTCCCTCCCTCAAGATGTTGTTGATTTTAGCCAGGAAATGTCTTCAGAAATGCAACAACAACAACAACACTATTAGGTTTGCACTGACTAATGGGGTTCAGGTTAGGATAGAGACCTTTAGCACTATGTTCTTTTTAGGTACCGCAAACCTCAAACTGCAATTCGACGTCAGGCGTTTTTTCAGACAAAGTTGTTGCTGAAAGAGCCGCCATAATGCATTTTGTTGATGCTTTTTTTTATTTAACCATATCTTTTCTCATCGTTAGCTCCAAGAGCCATAACGGCTCATCTAGGGAGATCTTATTGATGCTTAGTGTTTTTCGTTGTTTGCGGGCGTGTTTCTGGACGTGTTTCAGGGCGTATTTCCTAGCGATTAGCGATAAACCTGATGATAAAGTTGTCTAATGGCTTTCGACTCTCGTTAGACTCGCTAGATAGCATCCTGCATATTATTTGTTAAATATAAATATAGTCAACTTACTCTCCATCGTCAGGAACTTCTCCGAAAATCAAATACTTTTTATCATATTTAGGTCCTTGATCTTTCTTGTTTCCACTGGTCTTCCTTGTACGGCTAGTAAAGGGATACACACAACCATCAACATTATCCAATCCTAAAACGACCTCGCTTATCTAACATGACAGTCAGCGCACATTCCGGAGTCAGGAGGTAAGATTGTTCGAGATCACAACACAGGTGCTCTGGTGATAGTCCTCGATCAGTACGGATGCGCGCACAGAACACGTGACTTACCCGGCACTCTTGACCTTTTCGATGTCTGTTCTCTTTAAAAGCAACAAGCAAAGAAAGTTAATATTGAGTGATGAATCACACGAGTTATATCGGTCCGTGGATAGCCGACTTCTGTCTTCCTGTGTGTCTGGCACATATCCAGAATACCACATTGGAAAAGATAGTAACTCTACACTACCCTCGACAAATCCATCCTTTCAAAATGTATACATGCAACTGATCAATGAGGAAAGGAATTCACAGGTACCCCAGATCTCGTCTGAGAGGTCAGCAAGATATTTACAATGGACGACCACACAATGGATTATTTTGACGATACATGTACAGTGACCATCTAGGATCGTAAGGCATTATGAGATGTTCAGTGGGCACATTAAAGATGGAGGAAAATATATCCTTGTGTTTGTCTTTCTTACTGAGTAAAAATGATCGATGTGCCGTCTTTAGCTGTGATAATGACAGGCGTTATAAAAGAATAAAATAAATAATCGAGCCTCATATTAGCTCTATATTTGCCCCCCCCCCCCCCCCCTTGATGCCCCATGATGCTTAGCGATCCAAAATGGCCGCTGTATCGTCAACGTGTCTTATTCGGCAAATGGACAAAATGCAGGATACTAAGAAAAGAAAGATACTGATAACCAACCTTCAAATCTGAAGGAACAGTTTTGGGTCTGTCTTCATCATCTAGGCTTTTAGAAGATGTCATAGATAGAGCTGTGGAAAAAATGCGCACAGATATCTCAATCAATGGTGGCTTATGAATTCTGAGAGCTGTATTCCAGACCCTAAGTATCGAATTCCAGATTGAGTTGCGAGGTTTCGTTGTGTACTTTATGAGCCCACACAGGCGGAGTCATTGAAGCAACCCTCACACAGTCCTTAGTATACATTGCCAATTTCTTCGTTTCAATTGGGAACCCTCTTTGATAATTAAAACCAGTGGCAAATAGATTGGCCTAAAGTTAAAGTCGTAGAGACCCAAAGAAAAGCAGACTAGATCAGGTAAGGCAAGAGCACTGATAACATAAATACAGCAACTGAATCAGAGAAATTTGAAAGGAAACTGCCTGATTTTATTACATGAATCACTCAAATGGCGTCAATATTCACTATTCTTTCTTATGCCACCAAAACGATGGAAGAAAATTGAACTTTTTATTAGGCGGATATTTTTACTGTAGCCGACTTTCTATGATCTCACTTTTTGATGATTGAATTCTTAATTTAGGACCATACCTCCAGACATCGAGTGCCGAAGCGCAGTATGGCAGCGCGAAGCATTTACGGCTACGCCGGAGATTTCGGCCCCGACACCGCTATCCATAATGACTGATCAGGGAGCTCGGCCGAAGCCTAAGGGAGAGGTTAGTCGGCCCCTAAACCGTGTAAGATTAACTCCTTGCTGTGACCAGCCTCGAATGTCACATTTCTCTAGTGACTACGCTCTAACGGTCGCGATGGTCCATGTGGGATGCATTTGAAAAATTTAACATGCTAACAGACATGCGCAAAGAAGTGAATTAATGTGAGCAGCAAGATTCAGTACTTACGGCTTGTCTTGGGTTTGTTCTCCTCCTCGATGACGTCAATCTCTTGCACAGATTTCTGTTTCTTTTTGCTCTTTCTTGATCTTAAATATAAGTGAAGTATTTTCAAAAACAAATCAGAAATAAAATAATAAATAATATGATTGATAAATAGTCGTAAACGTATGTACAAAAGACGTGTATACAGTAAAATTCTGTGAGCACATACAATGATAAGATTGCTCAAGAACAAGTGAAAGAAAGAGAAGTGGAAGATGGCTTAAAAGATCAAATCTTAGATAGTAAAAGGAAAGATCAAATCTTAGTAAAAGAAAAAAAAGAGATACGTCTCAAAAAAAGATTTCGGTTGGGTCGGAGACGAGACGAGAAGAGATGACTCAAATGGGAGCAAATGAGAAAGACGTACGAGTGAGATAGAGCAGAGAACACACAGAATAGACACATCTGAGCTGAAATTGTCATACTTTGGTTCTTGAGACTTAGAGTCTAAGCTCACAAACTCATTTTCAGGTAGATGTAACGGTTCAACCCCGGAAAGATATGAAGAAGGAGAAGGAAGATATCTATGGTAGGAACGACGCCAAGCAAGAACAGGCGCCTGGTTGGTAGTCTGAGAGATTTGAGTACCAGACAAGGCAAGACAAGAAGAAAGATCGTCACTAGAATGGGAGGAGTTCACGTCGAGGTCATCCTCTTCCTCCTCGAGAATAGCACTATGAGAAAAACAATAGGAATAAAGAAAGAAGAAAAGGATAGTTAAATAATGAGAATGAGAAAACAGTTTGAAGTAGAAGCCTTAAAACAGTGAAGGAAAAGATTTGGGCATGATATCCTGAGGCAAGAAGACAGGAAAACGTATAGCAATTCAAATAGACTACTTCGACGATACGGAGGCCATCTTGGATTGCAAGGCATTCAAAGCGTCCAGGGGGCAATATAGAGCTAATGTGAGGCTTGATAAATGTATTTTCTTTATATTGCCTGTTATTATTAAAGCCAAAAACAGCATATCGATCATCTTTACTCATAATAGAAAGACAAACAAATAAAACTCTATATACATTACGCCATCTTTGTTTTGTTTTGTCTACTGGACGCCCCATAATGCCTTGCGATCCAAGTTGGCCGGTGTATCTTCAAAGTAGTTCATTCGCGCACGTTGACACAGGTTGTTCTTTCAAGACTTGCGTAGCAAATGATTTAAGTGCTTTGTGTTTGTCTGAGTCTCTTAGTTTCTTCATAATATTCTTTATTTTTACTAAAAGATCGTCAGAAAAGGAATCTTACTTCAGTTCAGGTTTAACAGCGCTTTGCTTGTCCTTCTGATCTGCGTTCTTCTCATCGCTAAACCCCACTTTAATCCCCGATCTGAGGACGTTCAAGCTTGGTGTTGCATCGTTGAGTAAAGCGTTTAGATAGACACAGCGCTCGTGAAAGGCTTGTAAGATCGGGATTAAACTTGCTTGTACTTCACGAGCAGTAACTTGCTGTGGAGATGAAGAAAACTCTAGTATTTAGTAATACGATAATCGAGTATTTCTCATCTGGGCGGAACTTGTTGAGGTTTGACTCATACAAATATTGCAAGAAGGTGCAGAAAGCACAAGTTGTGCGTGTTCATAGGCATGTTCCACTCAAAAGATGTTCAATTCTTTATTTCTTGGACATTTGGTTTTTAGTCCTTTAGAGTCATTCCTGGGCAGGACTGCACGTTGGGGGTGGGGGTGGGGGAGAGTTGGTTAGGCTGCAAGCGCTCTCAGTGAACTTTCTCTGAATTTGCCCCTAGTGCAGAGTCTTTGCCAGTGGCTTATATTACCAGAATTGGAAGGGTAAGCACGATTTTTAGTCAAACTTGCACTTAGTGTGGCAGTCTTTATTCAAAGGTCACTAAACGGTAAAGCACAACCTAATTTTGTTAAAATTTTAATCTGCCAAAGAAGTGGGTTGTTACGAATCATCCTAGAATGTTGGTAGTCTTAGTTTGTTGGCAGCCATGTTTTAGTACAACTGTTGGGAAGGTGATACTTACCTCTTTATCGAGATTTGGTTTTTCAACAGCATCAATATGTCTGTCAAATGTAGCCATGAAGACTGCTAACTTCTTGGCCTGAGAGTTACTGAATGCCACCTGGGAAAGAAAGAGGGTTCTTAATCGCTAATCTAGGTATGCAAAAACTCATTCTTGATTCCTGGTAAGGCCGCCTCATCCGTTCATGATCTCGTTATATTTTCCCGTGCCCTTAGTACGTCTTGATGTACCACTAATATAAGAATTCACTTCAAACTCTTTTTTCTTATTCAAATGTTTTAACTTCGCAAGATAATGGATATTAATAGCCCACGTTAGATATCTTAAATCGCCACAAAAATACAACATTTACAACATAAAAGAGATGAGATAAATAGCACAAACAGAGAGAAAAAGGATGGCGTGGTGGGGAAAAAGAACTTGCGTCTCACGTGACACCCCCCCCCCCCCCCCCCCCCCCCCCCCCGCCTTCCCTAAAGTAAAAAGTATGATTTTTCCATATTTGGATGATATAGAATAGTGGCCATTGACTTACCTCGCTTTTAACTTTGACTTGAATGTTTGTCAACCATCGGGTGATTTTCTCGATGTACGTCAGGTCGAACAAGTGATGTTTGAATCTGATAAGGAAACGAGGTTAAGGATATTCATTGTCATGTATGAAGGCGCAAATGCAACAATTCCTCACTTTTGCACAAATATTTCCCGTCAAAGCTGTGTTTGTTTTTCGACACAATTGTGGTAAGCGGTGGATCAAAGAAATCCACGAAAGTTTCCAGAGTTCTATTTGTTTTCTCTCACCGAACACAAAGGAGACATACATCTCCGGTTGCAGGGAAGCAAGTGAAGGATGGGGCAAACGAACACTCTAAAACAACTAACCTGTCTTCTAGTTTTCCAGCATAATCAGTAGCAGCTTCCAGTCGTTTGGTCTCCATTCCTTCTAGTTCACCCATAAATGAACCTTCAGATGAGTCTATCCTGCTAGCCATCTTCTCCTGTCAAATACCAGCGTCTGAGTTAATAACATAAATAACCAAGGCTTAAACTAAAAAGAATCCTCAAAAAGATTGCAAATAATGAAGATGCATCTTTGATTGGTGCAGTGAATTTGGTCCTGTATGGCTTAGTCCAGACGCTGTACCCTCTCCTTTGCCGCTCCGCTTTTGTTTTTGGGTCCAAAGGAGAGGGTACAGCGCCTTGACTATGTATGGCTTCACAGAGTAGGGGTGGGGAACGGGGTTAGGAGGCTCCCCTAAGAGTGCAAGCGAACTACAATGCGCATGTGTGTAAAGGATTTGTATACAACAGAGGCTTTGTTCCATCACGTGATGCTAGCCACTGACAGGAGCCTGGAGATTGGGACTGCAATGCGCATGTGTGTGAGGGTTTCTATACAACAGAGGCTTTGTTCCATCACGTGATGCTAGCCACTGACAGGAGCCTGGAACGATTGAATCTTATCTGCTTTATGTAAGAAAAGATTTATTTTCCCAAGGGAGAGCGACCTTATTGTTGTGACTCCAGTCATGGCTGCCATCACGTGATGGTGCAAAGTCTCTATACAGGGACTGCGGAACACATTTTAAAGCTTTGGGGGGATGGGGGTGGGGAGGACTAGAATCTATTTGCTTCATAAGATTTTAGTCCGCCGTTGTTCAGTGAGTTCATTTGCATTATTACTCACCAATCTTTTTCGATATTCATCGATTTCATCTGTCGAAAAGTTACCGCCATCAGAAAACACCCTAAAGTGGAAAAACAAAATATTGAATGGATGAGTGAATGGATGCAAAACAGTAGTCAGAAGTGTTATGGCTTAATACTTACTTGAATGTTTTACGGAATCTCGCGTTAGAATTCCTCAAAGTACTGAGTATCCCATCAAGATCATGGCGAAAACTTCGAATAGAACTCCGTATGATATCCATGTACTGAAATAAAATAGCAAACAAACATCAAGTTTATCGAATCTAGAGTGGCAACCACTGGGCTAATCAAAGTCAGGGCACAGCTAACTCACAGGTCAAACCCTGGAACAACCTCTGGGCTGATCAAAGTCAGGGCACGGCTAACCCACAGATCGAACCCTGAAACGACCTCTGGGCTGATCAAAGTCAGGGCACAGCTAACTCACAGGTCAAACCCTGGAACAACCTCTGGGCTGATCAAAGTCAGGGCACAGCTAACTCACAGATCGAACCCTGGAACAATCACTGGGCTGATCAAAGTCAGGGCACGGCTAACTCACAGATCGAACCCTGGAACAACCTCTGGGCTGATCTAAGTCAGGGCACAGCTAACTCATAGATCAAACCCTGAAACAACCTCTGGGCTGATCAAAGTCAGGGCACGGCTAACTCACAGATCAAACCCTGAAACAACCTCTGGGCTGATCTAAGTCAGGGCACAGCTAACTCACAGATCAAATTGGAATTTGGCGTGTTGAGTTTTCTGGTGGAGGAAAAGCTGTAAAAAACAATCGAATCAAAGGAAAGACCCAAAAAAACCTTCTCACACGTGATGCCGAGTCCAGGAATCAAACCCCAGACCTCCGAAAGGAGAGAAAGGAGTGCACTACTACTGCATTACCCTCGATACCCCAAAAAGAGCGAAGAGGTGATATTTACTATCGTAGTCAAGTATGCATGGGGTAGATTTGGGGTGTGGTGTTCGACCCTCTTTCTGACGCACTTAACAAACACACAGGTAGCCCAAATCAAGACTTTATACCCAATAAGCCAGTTTATAGTTTAAGAATCGTTTTCAGTGCAGTTCTTTTGTTTAATTAAGGACAAGAGAAGGTTTAGACAAAATAAGGTGAGAAATTCGGGATAAAATCGCATGCGCACTGGAAACGATTCTTAAAGTGCCTATCACCCGTCTGACCATATTTACAGTATTGATTCTACATGGGGTAAGATGTCGAATAACCTGAAAAAAATTCATAGTTTGAGTGCAGCTTCTTGAAGTTTTGAAGATTTTTCCATGCCATATGCTAATGCGGTGACGTATGATTGTCGCAAGACCAAAGAAATGCGGCTTATTCACCTATTGGGCACTCTTAGTCCCAACGGGATTAATGGATTAATGACTTTCCACTAAACTTTTCTTTTGTCTTTTGATTGTTTGTTTTTGTTTCCTTGCCTACCTTGTTCTCATTGGTTTCTTTTGTCTTATTCTATCATATATACACTCCTTTCTACCACCTCTTTCTCTTTTACTCCGACGAAGGACTAGCGTCCGAAACGTCAGTAAGTTTTTTCATCTTTTCACGGTGTATAATTTACCTTTTCATCATTACTGTGAATATTGTTAGAAGGGTGATAACTTTTAACTATGAACTGCCTTCAGATTACACGCGAATGTCGGAACGAATAAGTTTCTTTTATTCATAAACAATAAAATAAATGGTGTAATTCAGACGAGTACCTGTTCTACACGATTCGTCACTTGGTCCTGAATAGCAAGAAGTCTTTAGAAAAATAAAATAAAAGATCAGAAAAAAATAAGTTATGATCACAGGAAACAGAGAAGTAATTTTTGCGTGCGCGCAAATTAGCACCATAGTTAGTGCCTTTCTGATCGCACAAGCAACAAACGGAACAACCATATTGCAACCGCGCTAAATACAGGAAAACTACTGAAGGCACGGAAGAGAATTGAACACACATTAAGAATTATATAATACAAATTAGAATAGAGGCTTTGCACCATCACGTGATGGCAGCCATGACAGGAGGCATAACAATAGAGTCGTTCTCCCCTGGGAAACTGTATTCTTTCTCATGTAAATCAGATTAGATCAGATTCCATTGTTCCTGCCTCCTGTCATGGCTGCCATCACGTGATGGTTCAGAGCCTCTATAGCCGTTATTTTGGTTATACGAATCGAAACAGGTAGTGCGCGCGCGTGCTGCGCACTCTCATAATGCACGCGCTCCCAACCAATCAGAACTCGAGATTTATAACAGGTATTTATAATATACATATAATATGGTGACTCACTCGTGGGTTTTAGTGGCTGATACGAATGTTGCCTCCAGTTCCTGAACAGAGCGTTTGAAGTATTCCGTCTACAAACAAAACAATATACATTGTCAGTACTGAAATGATTTGAAGAAAAAAAGGCTCCAGTGTACAAGGGCAGATCCGGGGGGGAAAACAAAACAAAACTATCATGTATACGACTAAAGAATTAGATGCTTTTCTTTATTGTTTTCCGTTGTGTTGGCGGAAGAAACTAAGTTGGCCCCCCCCCCTCTACCTTAAAATTTTGGCTGGATCCGCCCTTGTGCCGGCTTAGCCTCGAATCCAGAAGTTGCTTGTTTTATCATTTTCTAATTTCAGCTTTTGTATACCGACCTCACAAGTGACGCCAAGCCCGCATACGATGGAGTTTTAAGAGTCGTCAATAAAACAGTCAAGACGTAAATTTTTCACACTAGTGAGTTACATACCTCTTTATCGTGTTCTTCAACCATCTCGTGGAATCGAGTTTTAAACTCATTTAATGTGGTGACAACGCCTTTACAATGTTGGTCAACTCTGTCTCTGTGTAGAATTAACTCAGCTGTGAATCAGAACAAACAGCTTGTTAACAAATGATATGGGCTACCTTGGCAATCTTCCTCTTCCTACTACACCTACTGCTTTTCCTCTTCTTTATGATTAAAGTAAAAATCCTTCACTACTGGATTCATTTCTTAAATCATCACTGATTACAACAAGTTCATCATAAGAACATCCATCGTGATAATCATGATCAACCATTGACAGACATGCCCTTGATGAACAATGAAGTCATGCGCTATCATGTACAAGGTTATTGATGGTCAGTGGCTCATCATGTTAAGGAAGTCATACGCTATCATGTATACAAGGTTATTGATGGTCAGTGGCTCATCATGTTAAAGAATGGACCATTCGATAATTGATGTGTGTGTGTGTGTGTGTGGGGGGGGGGGGGGGGGGGTGGGAATTTTGGTAGCATGATATTTATATGTATATATTTTTTTACATTATTTTTTTTGCGTACAGTTGGATATTTTTCTTCTAGCAGAAGAGGTGGCATGATATTTTTTTTGGGATTTACGCAACTCCCTATCAACTATCTAATGGTCCGTCCCTAAGTGTTATCATAGACATTATGATGATTATTTACTATCATTGTGGACATTAGGAAAATGCCATTAGGCAATAAGTACTTTTAGAAAATGTTATTATCAGGGTTCGTGCCAGAGATTACAAAATTTCCAGGCGTTTTCCGGGGAATAAATAGGAAAATCCAAGGACCGTTAACTTTAAAATTTCATGTCAGAAAAAGTGACACAGTTTTCCTTTAGAACAAGTGACATACAAAGTGTTGGTAGAGAAAACACTTCTACACTTCTTTTATTTTCATTTGTCTAATATTTAGCCTACGATACTAATAGAAATTTCAAGGACTTTTCCAGGAGTTGGTTTCAAAAATAAAATTTTGAGGAGTTTTCAAGAGCCCTGAAAGAAATTTTCCAAATTCCAGGAATGAATGAATTCCAGGAAAAGTGCGAACCCTTATTATAATCTCCTTTGACATCATTAAAAATTTCAAAAAACCATCAGTGAGAAACTACGGACGAAGAATTGATCATGGTTTACACTGTTTACAAAAACAAACATCCTTTCCCCACAGTGGGTGGTGAGAGTTCCTCTCGCTCCATCCAGATATGCCGCCTACCTGCACGCACGTTATGAACATCTTGTTGAGCTCTTGCTGCTCTGGGTTCGTGTAGATGGAGTCTTAGATCAAGCTCACTATTCAGCTCTTCCATCTGGTAAGAAAAGTTAAGAAAACAACATAAGTTCGCGCAAAGTACAAACGCAAATAGGACGTTTACATGATGGCGTCATTTGGCTCCCACTACCAAAATGCTTCGCGAATTTTCTTTCTTATTTAAATTTGTATTCCCTCATGAGAATAGTAAGACATTTGGTGCTAATTAACTGAACAAAAGAAAGTGTGCAAGGGATTCTGGTAGTGCTAGTAAATGACGATATAATGCAAGTGACCTTTTGAAATAAAAATAAAACAAAAACTGCAACAACAAAAAACAAACAAACAAAAATCCCAAACAAACAAACAAAGAGAAACTTAGAAACTGAAATACAGTAGTGCTAGCTGTTAGAAGCAAAACAATGCCCGCGCGTATGTTGAATTTTCTTTTCTTTAGCCCATAGTTGCGCGAAGAAAATCTCTTTGCTTTGAGCAAGAAGCTTACCTTAGCTGATACAACACTGTTGGAGTGTTCCAGCGCCTGTTCTTTCCATTTCTCAAGGTGTTCTAGAAACTCCATTCTTACACTAGGTTAAACAAACAATTTATAGGTAAACACTAATCAGACAGCATCGCAAACGCAACAGATTTATTATTGAAACACGAAGGCGTTAGATCTTCAAATTCTATCGAACCCTGAAACGACTTCTGGGCTGATATAAGTTAGGGCACAACTAACTCACGGGTCGAATGGTCTTCTTCACAGTTTCCTGCGCCATCTTGAAAGGTAGCCGTGCCTTTGCATCGAAGCGAGATGAACGGTGAGGTTACAATGATAGAGACATGTGAATTATTGTCCAAGGTGTTAAAAAAGGTTTCTATCATGCAAAGGCACGGCTACCTTTCAAGATGGCGCAGGGAACTGCGAAGGGGACTATTGTAATTTAGCGTGTTAGGTTTCGCAAAGGAAGGAAAACTGGGGAAAAAACCTTGAATTAATGGAAATTGTATAAAGGGATTTTAGATGGAGGAAGATTGGTTAGGTTGCTATAACTTTAACATACCAATGGTATGAGGAAATATACTAAAAAAAGTGTTACCAATGAGCAGCGGACAGCTAAATCTGCATATGTCGCTTGGCTATGTTCGTATTTGTGTTTCAAGTAAAAACCAAACTAAGGGTATACAGCCATCTCTCGCCCTGGATAAAAATCCCCCGGCAAAAATATTGACAAAGAAATGACCATAATTAATTCCCGCTATTGAGGAGGCTCACTATTACGAACACCAAGTGACGGTCCCAAGGGTGTCCGCTGTAACGAGAGTTGACTGTAGACAGTTGTATTGCCATACTCATACTTACTGCTTTCTTAATTCAACAAACAGTTCTTCTTTAATGGAAATGGCATCTAAGTAGGGTGACGCTGTGTCTTCTGCGTCTATGAGTGAACGAAATATAACGTTAAGGTGGTAGTGGTAGTAGAACAGTTTTCGCATGACTGTGAAAAGCGCAGTGTCGTAAGCGTGCAGTGCCTTAACCGTGAGTTTTTAGAATTTTGATTGGCTGATGTTCTCGCGCAATGTGATTGGTCTGAGAGTGCCGTGACCTTATCGTGACCGTGTCCGCGCCGTGTTTATGCCGTGTTCCGGGTATTCGATTGGATGGAGAATACATTTTAGTGCAATGTGATTTGTCTGGAGTACGCCTTGCTGTGTCAACACCGTGTTTGTGCAGTGAGCTTTTCACAGTCATACGAAAATTACTCTAATGAGGGATGATTTGGTGTTGGTATTATTGTTGTTGTTGTGGTTATTATAGTATTATACATGTTAGATAAGTAGTATATTACCAGAGTTCTCAGTCAAGAACATCATACAACCTTTAATGCTTCTAATGCTCATAGCTATAGTTGTAGTTGTTGTTGTTGTTGTTGTTGTTGTGGTACATGTTATATATCTAATATCTTACCAGAGTTCTCAGTCAAGAATGTCATACATGTCTTCATGCTCCTAATACTCATAGCTATAGTTGTTGTTGTTGTTGTTGTGGTACATGTTATATATCTAATATCTTACCAGAGTTCTCAGTCAAGAATGTCATACATGTCTTCATGCTCCTAATGCTCATAGCTATAGTTGTTGTTGTTGTTGTTGTTGTGGTATATGTTATAAATCTAATATCTTACCAGAGTTCTCAGTCGTACATGTTATATATCTAATATCTTACCAGAGTTCTCAGTCAAGAATGTCATACATGTCTTCATGCTCCTAATGCTCTCAGGTGTATCAGGTAAGCCGTGTTCACCAGGTTCTTTCAGAATGTAAAAAGAGGTTCCATTCGAGGTCGTCAAGATGTCTTCCAGTGCCTGGTGACCCACCTTGGTTTGGCGTTGTGGATGTGGAGAAATGGCTGCCTTTCCTTTGCCAAGCTAAGAAAATAAACAAGAACGAACTAAGCATTCAGTGTTTTGATGCACGTAGACAGTTGGGAAATTACGATGGTAGCGTAAGAGTTGCTTAAGGCAAAGCCGATCGAGCCATTTCTTTATCGCGTTATATCTTGTTATGATATTTTTTGTCATTATCACAACAGTGGAGAAGAAGATTAAAAAA